ATTTTGGAAATAAATTATTAAATAATAATATTTTCTTTGTTTTTGTAGGGGACACAACAGGTTATCTTGAAGTCTATTTTTAAAATGTAAATATTAAAAAGTAAAAATACTGGAATAAGTGAAGGTTACATGCAGAGATTAGCTTAAAACATGAAATTTAGGACCAATGCCCATTTAATTTTATTATAAAGCAGTGTTATAATAACCTATAACCCATGACATTTCTTTTTGTTTTAGTCTTTATTATATATATTTTTTAGTTTTAATCATGTGTACATGAAAAAAAATCTGTACTTTTATTATGGCGCCTCACATTGAGAATTTTTTAATGTTATTGAATGACAATAATTTCTAATTATTAAACCTAACACACAGTCTGGCAATGTTAGCTCATGGATGATGATAATCAGAAATATTTATTGAGTACCTACAGTGTGATATATAGGGGCTACTTAATGAATTAGACAAAGTCCCAGTTATCGTGAAATCTTCATCTTATTAGCTGGAGATGTGATTTTTAAATCCATGAGAAGGGTACTATTATTAGCCTCATTTGAGAAACTGAACCATAGATCAGGTAACTGGCCCAGGATCATCCAAGTGGCAGGTGTTAGAAATATGAACCCAGGCAAGCCGTTTTCAGGACTCCCAACTCCTCCATTGGTACCAACAAAGCACTCCCGCAACTCAGGGGACAGGTCAATCAGAACTCCCAGTAGTTGTTGTATTAGTTTATTTGTTGCTGCTATAACAAGTTACCACAAATTTCTGATCTTAAAATTCTGGAGGTCAGAAGTCCAAATTCAGTTTCATGGGGCTAAAGTCAAGATGCCAGCAGGGCTGGTTCTCTCTCAAGGCTGTAAGGGGAAATGCATCTGTTCTTTTCAGCTTCTAAAGGCCACCTGCATCCCTTGGTTCATGACCCCTTCCTTGTATCAGTCTAACTTCCTGCTTCCATTGTCACATCTCCTACTAGTGACTTTTACCTTCTTGCCTCCCTCTTATACAAACCCTTGTGATTCCTTTGCACCCACCTGGATAAACCAGGCTGCTCTCCCTACCTCAAGACCCTCTCAATCACATCTGCAAAGTCCTCTTAACATGTAAGGTAACATATTTATTGGTTCAGGGGATTAGGATGTGGGCATCTTTGGAGGGTTTGTTTCAGCCTGCTACTGTTGTGGACACTGTAAAGGCTAAAACTTATGCTGCTTTAGGACAAAAAAAGATTGGTGTGGAAAAGTGAGAGCTTCCTAGTATACTCCACTCGCAGTCTTTTCTGTGCCAGGTTCAGAAAAGCAGTACTAGGGCTTTGTATTAAGCCTGCTAGGGCTGCCATAACAAAATACCACAGACTGAGTGGCTTAAATAACAGTTTATTTCCTCACAGTTCTGGAGGCTGGAAGACTGAGAGCAAGGCGTTGGCAGGGCTGGTTTCCTGCAGCCTCTCTCCTGGGCTTGCAGGTGATCTCCCTGTGCATTCAGTCCTCTCTTCATGTGTGCAAGTGTCTAGTGTCTGTGTGTATCCAGATTTCCTCTTATAAGGATACCAGTTATAATGGATTAGGGCTCACCATAACGACCTCATTTAAACTCAATAACCTCCTTAAAGACCTTATTGCCAATACAGTTACATTCTGAATTACTGGGGGATTATGACTTCAATATATGAATTTGGGGGCAATACAATTCAGCCCGTAACAGGCTTTACATCAGCCGCGTTCAGTCCTCACACAGCCCAGGTTTGGAAGATGAGAATGTGGTGACTGAGGGTGGTTATCACTTGCCTGAGGTCTCCCAGGGGGCAAGTGTTAGAGGGACAATGCACACACAGGCCTGTCCACTCCAAAGGCCAGGCCCTCACCATCCTGCCTAACAGCTGTCAGGAATTGTGGTGACAGAGGTGGGCAGATGAGTGTGGCCAAGAACAGTGAAGGGACCAGCCCAAGGGCAAAAGTGCATGTTGATTTGTGGGAAATAGCAGGGTGCAGCCTGACTCTGGAGGCCTTTACAATCATGGAGAGTCATAGAGCGATTTAAAAAGAGAAAATCGGGAAGAGGGAGAGGCAGGACCTGTCACAATTTTGACTCCACCCAGATCTTCCATGGCTCCTAGCTGACCTCCACCCCTACCATAAACTTACACTAGCTAACTGTCCCTTTTAAAACCTCACAATGACTCTGCAGTGGAAAACTAGGGCAAGGGCTCTCTTCGTTGAATCAATTTCCCAAGAGAAGACTGGTGCCACCTATCTTCAGTTACAGTACCCCTCATGTCTGTGTGGAGATAGACAACCCTGATACTAGATTGATGACATCTGCACTTCTTTGCAACCCTGAATTGTTTTAACTCCATGATTTTAGAGGCTAATAATGTACTTCATTTCCCCTCTTCCACCCCACCATCTGCCCCTTACCCATTCATTTTACTTTTTCAGCTTTTCTGCCTGGAAGAAATAAAAAGGAACTAAAATAATTCCATGGAATCTAAGCAGCTTTTTGACAGCAAGCAAATGTATGCATTTTTAACTATATATTCTCCTGTCCCCATTTATCACAAATGGCCACGGGAGTTTTGTTGATCCTAAGATCTGTTCCATATTAACTTTCATCAACTAACATAGAAAAATGAAATAAAATGGAAACACATTCCATTTTACCTCCTCTAATTAGAATCAGTGCTAATGAGTTAACGTTTTAAAATAGAGGGTGATCTGAAAATTTATGTAGCCATTCTGAATAGATTACATAGGTTCTGGCAAATTTTGTAGCCAGTCATCAACAGGATCATTGCCCTTTCAGACACTGAAGTGTTTTCCCAAGTGGAAAAGGGGTTCTGCCTTACAGCTTCCTCTAGGGTGCAAGGTAGGAGGTGCCACGGCAGGCCTCTTGGTGTAACCAGATTCCCTTTGGCTGGTTCCTTTACCATTTATCTATGTATAGATATCATACCTCTTAGTATAACCCTTTTCTAAGCTCAGTTTTTTTTCTTCCTGATTCTCACTTCTTTTGTTGAAGGTATCCCTCTGTTTAAACTCTGTATTTTTTTTTTTAATTGATTTTTAGAGAGAGGAAGGGAGGGAGGAAAGGGGGGGAGAGAGAAAAACACTGATGTGAGAAACACCGATTGGTTGCTTCCCATATGTGCCCTGACCAGAAACTGAATCTGCCACCTTTTGGTGTATGGGAAGACAATCTAACCAACTGAACCACACCCGCCAGGGCTAAACTCTGTATTTTTATTCTCATTACTATATTTCCTAGAAGGATTGTGTAAATTCTGTCAAATAAATCTTTCCCAAAGGAAAAAATATATATAGGATATTTGTAATAGAAAACAACAGAGATTTATATCTTATCCATCCTCATGCTTGTAAGAATTAGATAAAATAGAAGCCAAGCATATTTCCCTAAAGGTAAGGTTTGGTTCTGTTTCTTCTCCCCTTCGACTCATTGCTCTATAGGACAGTACAATGACAGCCACTCCCACTGCTGTCGGCTAGCCACTCACTCTCAGCATTTGCTGAACACACAGTTACGTACCTTTCCCTCTGCCCATTTACCAGTGCCTGGTGAGTACTCTCTGTCAGCTGCATCATCATCATCATGAACTGTAATCTTCATTGCTGCCCACAACTAACATACACAAATGACTGCCTCCTCACACACGCCATGGTCCCTGAGAGCCATGTGAGTAAGTAAAAGACATTTTAGGTTGAGAGTGATGGGTTCTAAAGAGAAAAAACAGTAAAGAGCAAGGAGATAGGAGATGTAGGTATTATTTGTATATGAAATTTTAGAAACAGTGGCTAGGAATAGCCTCTTCGAGAAGGTAATATTTAGGAAAAGACCTGCAGTGAAGGACTAAGACATAATTCAATCAGAGCACTGCAGCAAAGGGAACTGTAAAGGCCCTGCGGTAGGAGTCTGCCCAGCCTGTTGAGGGGCAGTGAGGAGGTCAGAGGGGCTGAAAAGGAGTGTGAGAAGAGTAGTCACAGACAAGGCCAGATCATGGAGGCCTAACAGGTAGAAGGACTTTTACTTTGTACTGATTGTCCCATGAAGATCCTGGAGGATTCTGAGCAGAGAAACAATGTGACTTTACACGGGTTGTAAGAAAATCACTCTGGTGGCTGTGTTGAGAACATTCTGAAGGGGGCAAAGTAGACTTAACCAATATGCCTCTATCCTATAAAGCACAATCAGATAAAACGAACAAACAGAAGTTGAACTTGTCCCTGGTGATTTCCTTTCTGCCCATTCTGGTCACTATGGCTGCACACAGACACCTGATCTCCCAAATAAACACTAGGGTTGCTCACAACAGCAGTATGTATGGATATAAATTTTTACTTACTTAAATTCTCCTAAAATATAAAAATCAGAATGTTTTTCTGAATTACAGCTTTTGGCAGTGAGTAAAAGTCACAATAAAGAACAATAAGCCCCAACTTACCCTGGCAGCTTGAATTTTTCCCTAAAAAGAGAGTCCATTTTTCCTAGACATTCATTTAGATATGTTAGGTTTCTTTTAAAGTGCCAAAGGTTATCCAATTCCCATAACTACAGATAAGAATTATAATGAAGGGAAGAACTCATCAACTTAAATATTCAAGGTCATCTCAAATCCTGAAGATTTCTGTGACAGAGGAAAACTTTTGCTGGTAAATAGCTGAACTAAAATCCAGACAAATATGCTCGAAGTCTTCATCTTCTGATTCTTAATTCTTTAACATAATATAGTGTAAGACTCTTTTTCAAATCTAATTATGTAGTAACAAGAACTGAGTGTGTTTTGTAAAAGTTTAATTAAAAAATCCCTAGCCTGGCCGGGCGTGGCTCAGCGGTTAAGCGTCAACCTAGGATCCAGGTGATCAGGGTTCGATTCCCGGTCAGGGCACCTGCCTGGGTTGCGGGCTGCAGCCGATCAATGACGCGCTCATCATTGATGTTTCTGCCTCTCTCTCCCTCTCCTTTCCTCTCTCTGAAATCAATAAAGATATATTTAAAAAAAAAAAAAATTCCTAGATAAACTTAATTTGCTATTTTTCTATTCTACTATCTATATTTTTCTTTGTTTCATCTGTCTTCTTTTCTTTCCACAAGTTCCCGAGGACAATCCCTAAAAAAACTATTAGTCCTATTGTTCGGTTGGAGGCAAATTTATCCCAACAATCCTCAGGTCTGTGGATGTCTAGAGTGTAAATCTGTGAAAAAAGAACACAAGGTTGCATTAGTACTAGTATGGACTTTCGGCATCACAAACACACCACTGTAGAAGATATCAGCACTGTTAAAGAATTTTTAAGTAATAGGAATCCCTTAATGTGCCCCAAACGGTTCCCCAATGTACACAAATCTACCGTTTCTATCACTGGGTATCATCTAAGCTGCATCCTGAAAACTTACCATGAGGGGTGCATGAGTGCTTTGAGAGACAACACACACTATTTTCAGCTCTATTTAGAAAGCTCTTCCTTCCACAGACTGAGCTAAAACCTGCTTTCTACAGCTCCTACCCTCCAGTTCTAGCTATTCTTGGGAGTAATATTTTTCAATGGGAGAACGAGTCACCTTTGGGCAGGACAACTCTATTGTGCAGAACTGTCTAGTGCACTGAGAGATGTTTAATATACCTGGTCCTCACCCACTAAATACCTGTAGTGAGCCTTCCCCAGTTTACTTACGATAATAAAAAATACCCTCTTCCATGTGTAAATCTCCCTTCCTATCCCCACAGAGAAGGGAATCCTACCAACCTAAATTTGCAGCTGGTGACTGGGACAAACATACTCCTGTTTCTCCATGGTAGTCCTGCAACTATATCAGCAAGTCTCATGTCCCTGTCTTACTCTTCTCTAGGCTTAAGCATCAGCATCCACCTGCATTTTCCCAACTCTTCTTATTGTGGCCTACAGAATTAAAATTGTCATGATTTCCTTTCTTTTCAAATACTGGAAGGCTATGTCCATCCTAAAATATTGTGTCAAGGACTGGAGACAGGACCACAAATGCAACTGAGAATATAAAGTAGGTTCCAAATATCTGTTATAATATTTGTGATTGTCCTCATAATTTTTTGCCTTTCTCTACTAATATCCAGGTACTTAATTATTGCTAAATCTCCATTACCCCAACCAGACAATCAACTGATGATGACAATCCTATGGGGCTGAATTATGACCAAAAGAGGATGCTGGGAAATTCTGAGGAGGAAAATGATAGTATCCGAGAATCCTGGAGAATCACCAATTGGTATCTTTTAGCTTTTCTAGTGAGGAAAACAATGAAGGTGATGCAGCATAGGGCTTACTTTATAGATATCATATTTTAGATTCTTTAACGCCATGTTATATAAGTTTTGCTTACACTGATAACTTGCAATAATCTGTATAAAACAGATCATCTAAATACAGGTTCACTAACTTCTGTTCAAAGAAAATAAGGGTAACACTGGTTGTAAATGGACTGTATTTTTGCATCAATCTAATTAAAATTAGATTTAGTTCATTCATTCTATACAAGTCAATAATATAGATTCATAATATCAGCTTGTAGGGGCTGGGGTGCTGGGTGCATATCCTGAAATGGCAGATTCCTACTATCTAGGCAGAACTCTGACATGTTATAATTTCATGACTTATCCAACCTTGGTCTCTATGCCAGTGGAATCTAAACCTATGAATAATTGGTTTGCTGAGCATTACCAGAAGCCCACATTTTAAAATAAAGTTGTGTTGATCAGTTGCTTTTAGAGTAATTCAGTTCAACCCACAACCTTCAGACATTGCTGAAATTCTTCTAGACGTACATCAGAAGTAATTCCAGAAAAATCAGAGGGGGGAAAAAATCTACATTTAGTTTTAGATTATTTCCCTAAAATAATATAGCTAGCTCTTTTATATGACAAGTTGGGGAGAGGAAGGGGTGATTCAAGGCAGTGCAAGCCAAGTGTTTGTTTTAAGAAGTGCCTTGTCTGTTAAACAGAGACCATTTCATTTAAACAGTATTTATAATTATACCGAGGAAGAATGAGGGGAAAGAATCAGAAGGTGGTCAAACCTGGTGAGTCAGATGGGCTGCAACAGCAGCCAGAGCAGCGTAGTAGGGTGTGGTCTGACCAGTGTTCACTCCCACCAGGCTTAGCGCCCCCAGCATCGCTAAACTGAAGCCACTAAGCCACTGCTTTGTGTTTTCACGAAACCTCAGTGCCGTAGACTTAACGCCAATCATCACATCATCTCTCTTGTCCTAACATCAGAAAGTAATAAGAAATTGTTTTTTGTAGACATACCACAAAATTTGCCATTTTGAAGTGTACAATTCAGTGGTTTTAGTATATCCACAAGGCTGTGCAACTATCATCACTATCTAATTCCAGAGGACATTTTTTTTGTTGTTGTTGTTTTTTAAATATATCTTTATTGATTTCAGAGACAGGAAAGGAGAGGGAGAGAGAGAGATAGAAACATCAATCATGAGAGTCACTGATCAGCTGCCTAGCCCGCGCAACCCGGGCAAGTGCCCTGACCGGGAATCGAACCCCGATTGCCTGGATCCTAGGTCCACGCTCAACTGCTGAGCCACGCCCGGCCGGGCGAGGACATTGTTTTTTAAAGAATATTTATATATAAACATAAAGATAACACCATGAGCTGTGAAAGATGAGTAACTCAGAACATGGGTTAATCAGTAACATGCAGCCAAATCGAAGTTAAATGTTATTGCTAAACTTTTCTTCCAGCTCTATTTCTACACGTCTTTGTACTTCTTATAATCCTATTGATTTTTAACTACACCTTTACTACATTAGAAGTAAAATTCAACTCAAATTCTTCACATAGCTCCTCCTTATTGCAGAGTTCTCAAATCTCAGTAATTTCCTGTACATTTTAGTTTCAATCTTGTTAAAATTACAAATGCTCACCACCCATTCACGTTTCACTTCTAACTCAATTTACTCTTCGCCTTTCCCATCAAATCCCTTTTGTTTAAGCAGAGCCAGGTTTTGATGATACACTCCCATCTAGCTGGCTGGTCTCCTCCAGCAACTTTATTTGCAAGCATCTCCATATGCTGTTGTAATTATGGTCCTGTAACATCAGAGCCCGTATGCTGAACTCTGCACCCACCGCAGGCAGACAGCTATCTTCTGGAGTCCCAAATACAAATACAAATAATAATGTGTATGGGGTTTGGATATGTTTTTCCTCTCATACTGCAAACGCCTGAGGGTGCAAACTGTGTCTTTAATTATATGTACTACAAAAGTGTCAAAGAATATAGTGTTTTACTGAAGAAGTTAATCTAATTTGAGTACAGTTATCCTGACCACTGGTTCCAGACCTTACTGCAAAAAGTACAGGAATCTCTTCTAAACTGTTAGTTAAGTTTCACCTCAGGAAACAGGCTGATTATAGATCTGGCAATTTTTACAAGATAATACAAATGTGGGTGGGTGTAGGGGTTAATGAAAGAAAGCAGGATGAAATCCAGACTAAAATATTAGAAAAAAATCTTCATTAAATCATGACATATTCTTTAAGTAAATGATTGAGAATACAGTCATATTTCAGAAAAATATTGAGAAAGCAACTTTTTCACAGTTCATAAATGTAAAAGGAAAATTAAGAACATAAACCAAGAAAAGTTAAAAAAAAGTTTTATTAAATTTATGAAAAGGCAATACAAAAACTATAAAAATATTTATATCCTTTAAGTAATACCACTCCTAAAAATTTACCCAAAAAACTCATAAAAACATTAGTAATTAAAACAATACTATTTATAACTGCAGAAACTCAGAAACAACTGAAATGGCCAAAATACACAAATTGTTAAAAAAAAAATTATGGTGCATTAAATCAATGGACTATTATGTAGTCTTAAAGTGATAATAACAAAAAATAGGCAAAAATCTGGGAAAATGTTTATTACCTACACTAGGTAAAGAAGCTGCCTGATACAACGATTAGAGGCCTCAACAGAAGGGCAGGAGAGGGTAGTGGTTAAAAGCACAGACCCTGGAGACTGTCTGGGTTTGAATCTCAGCTCTGCCATCCACTAGCTGTGTGACATGGACAAATTACTTTCCATGCCTATTTCCTCATCTGGAAAATGAGGACAATAAAAGTGCATTCCTCTCAGGTTGTTATGAGGGTTAAATCAGTGTTTGCAAGGTACTGAAAACTGCCTGGCATATGGTAAGTGCTACTTAAGTTATTATAAATAAAATAAATGAGCTGATTTCTTTGGTAAATATATGTGCACATGAAACAAATATTTTGTTGGTACCATGGAAGTGTGAATAATTTCCTTTAGTTTGGTTCTTAAAGTTTTTTAAAAAACAGCTAAAGTTAAGAAAAAAAGATGATGTTTCTTTACCTGATGGGCATAGATAGTATCATATATTAGAGTCCACATAATTCCAGAAAAATAAAGAGGTAGGCAAACAGATGGATCACAGGAGCCCTTGACAGCAGACCATCCAAGTAACGCTCCCCAATTAAAAGTGAACCCTACATGGAGTGAAACAGAAAGGAAAAGTCTAAACATACTTCCAAATCCCAAAGGGAAGGAGAGGCATCAGCATGTACTATTGTTTCTGTGTAGTAGCCTCTATGTAGACTTTTTTCTAATATGTTTCTTCCTTAAATTCTCTCAGCTCTCTGCGGTAGTTATTAGCTACATTTTATAAAAAAGAACACAAGTTCAGAGAGGTTAATTAACAATTAAAATAACATAGCTAAAAGAAAGAATAATATCCCCCTGATAAATAGTTTTCATGAGAACAACATTTATCCTACCTAATATGGTGCCTGGCATCGTCAATAAATAATAGGTGCTGGGGTCTGAACTTAAACCTGAGTCAAAATCCTATGATCTTTCCATTATCATTCTACTGCCCCCAGAGGTATAGAAACAAGAATACAGACAGGAATTCTCATTTATCCCATAAGCCCATCCTCCCTGAGGACTATAAATGAACACCTACATGCTGACAGCTCCTGAAATCTTTCTGTGCAAGCCTGCTCAGTCTTCAGACTAGACACTGGACTGTCTGCCGGACATCTCCACCTGCAAGCCACTCTGGTACCTCAAACTCAGTGGGTCCCAAATGTCTTTTCTCAGAAACTCCTCTTCTCCCACGTTGCCTGTTTCCACTCAGACTCTCTCCTCAGCTGACAGGGGCATCTCCTCTGTGGCTCCACAGCCCTCAAACATGCCAGTACATTTTACTGCAATGCTCTGTTCATTGCTGTCTCCTTCTCTGGTTCCGTCACGAAGGTGAATGTGTTTTAGTCACTTTTATTTTCCTAGTACATGGTGTGATTGCTGGCACGAACTAAAAATCAGGGGTTCAATAAATATCTGAAGTAAATATAGCAGCTTCCTTAATATTATCTTATAGATAGGAAGGCTTATCCTCCTATTACCAAAAGATTCCCAGGTCAGTTGAGAATATAATGACCTATATATTTTTTTAATAAAAAAACCCCACAACACTGAACGAGAAGATCTTAGAAAAAGATTCGTATTCTACCACAACTTTCCAGTCAGGTTTACATCTATTTCTGAGTAGGTTTGTGTTTTTCTTTTATTTACTGGAGGGGGAAAAAGTTCAAAGAACTAAAACAGTTCTAGGAACACTCTAGATTGTTCTTAGGAAAGACTAACAGATATTTTTGCAAGAGATTTTCACTTACCTACCTACCTATCTTCAGCTCCTTCCACTAATAAACATTTACTGAATTCCTGCAGTGTATGAAGTGCTATGTGAGATGCTGAGCCACCCAAATGTAAAGAACGTGTTATCCTTTAGGCATTTACCATTTGTTACTGGGGAGACAGACGAGGCTCTCAATATCTCCTTGCTGAATTAATGCTGTTGAAGTAAGTGCCTCGTCAGAGTGCTCTGGGAGCCCAGATTGCTATAACTTTTTCCTGGGAGGTGTAAGGATGGCTTCACAGAAACGGAGCCCTGAGAAGTGGCTGAGCTATCACACATACTTTAACCCCTGTTCTCCTGCTCAGAGTGCTTTCCACTCCAGTCCCCAAAGTCTTCAGGACAGCTAGATCAACCACCTGAAGAGAGAGGTAGGGTCAAGGCAGCTAATGCATTTCTTCATGACATACTTAGATTTTTTTTTTTTTAATATATCTTTATTTACTTCAGAGAGAGGAAAGGAGAAGGAGAGAGATAGAAACATCAATGATGAGAGAGTCATTCATCGGCTGCAGCCCGCAACCTGGGCATGTGCCTTGACTGGGAATCAAACCCTGATCTCCTGGATCCTAGGTCGATGCTCAACCGCTGAGCCACGTCCAGTTGGGCTAGATTTTTAAAAGAGCATTTAGGAAAATAATAATGGTGATAATATGCAAGATTTTTTAGCCAATAGAAATGGCTAATTGTCCTCCTTTAAAGTATGAAAATCTGCCCTGACCGGTGTGGCTCAGTTGGCTGGAGCATTGTCCTTTGCACCAGAAGGTTGCGGGTTCGATTCCTGATCAGGGCATACTTAGGTTGTGGGTTCGATCCCCAGCTGGGGTGTGTACAGGAAGCAACCGATCATTGTATCTCTCTCACATGAATGTTTCTCTCTTTCCGTTATTCGCTCTCATAAAAAAAAAATTTATTCTTGGTTTGGAAAATTTCATGACTGACTTGACATTTTATCTCTGCCACATTATGTATATATATGTATGTATGATATTATATCTAAAAGTATAATTTGAGGGTGTCACAGAAAATATAGTTAATTCAACTCACCCAAGACTAATTGAGGCCAGTATGTAATCCTTTTCATTAGTGGGTAGGTGATAACAAGAAGTAGGGATGCTGCTCCAAGAGCTATACTGAAATCAGGAAACCATTAGAAAGATTAACATCACAATCTCTTACAAATCACTAAATAAGTCAGTAGCAGGGCTAGGATTCAAACCTTACACAGGTTGGCTCCAAAGTCCAACTTATTACCATATGCTACTGTCTCTCTAAATTTTATATTCATACATTAAGACAACTAGAAACTTAGACATCCTAAGAGAGTCAGAGCCAAGATATTCCTCCCTATACATACAACGAGGTGTTATTTCTCTAGAAGAGGGTACAGTCACACAGCCTCTATGAAAGGATAATAACATAAGACATTCCTAGGGACCTCAAAGCTCACCTAACACCACCTCTCCAGGAATAACCTTCCAAAGTGTTTTCACGCGGGTGATGCTAGCAGGGCAAGGTATACAATGAAATCTAGTCTTTATAAAGTAATGCTTGTTCAACGCAGGTTACAATGGCTAAGATCTGGAAACAGCCCAAGTGCCCATCAGTAGATGAGTGGATAAAAAAGCTGTGGGACATTTACACCATGGAATACTACGCAGCTGTAAAGAAGAAGAATCTCGTACCCTTTGGGACAGTATGGATGGACCTGGAGAAAATTATGCTAAGTGAAATAAGCAAAGGCAGAGAAAGAAAAACATCACATGATTTCACTTATATGTGGAATCTAAAGAACTTAATAAACTGATGAACAGAATAGATTCAATGACATGGAAGCATAGATCAGACTGACGAATGTCAGAGGGATGGAGGAGGGCAGGTGGGTGGAGGGGGAGAGAGTAACCAAAGAATTTATATGTATATATGCACAACCCAAGGACACGGACAATGGTGGGGAGAGGGACTGGGGAGGGGGATGGGACGGGGTGGAACGGAGTGGAAAGGGTCACTGGGGAGAAAAGGGGACATCTGTAATATTTTAAACAAAAATAAAATAAAATTTAAAAAAATATTAGAAACAAGCAGAAAAAAAATAAAGTAATGCTTGTTTGTTGACCTCTTTTTTCTCTTACTGCAGCACTTTGTAAGCAGCCACCTAATGCATAGAAGTTTAATTTTGTCTGTTCAAGATATAGAAATGAGTCTTTCCACTTTTCTCATGTATTACGGATTAGGAACATAATCATGGGAAAGACCAGTTCCTCTTTTTGTATGAGTATAACCACTTCTGCTTCTATCTACTTCAGAGATACTATAAACATAAATAAAATAAGGCAGAGGTGGGCATGTATTATTATTTATTAATTATTGTATTATTTCTCATGTGAACAACTGTAAACCTACTTTTGCTCATCCCTGTATAAAGGAGCATGTACACACACACACCCATGCATGCACCTAGAAAGCCTATCAAGTGCCTTGAGTCCCTTAGGAACATGTAGTGCAAGTACAAAGGTGGTTCAGGATAAATTAAATACTGATCTTTTATCTTAATTCCTTTGGATGAAAACATACTTGATTTTACAATGTGTGGTGATTTATTTATACTTGCTAACTTACATATGCTTATTAGGTAGCAAATAAACAACTTTATGATGAAGATATTTCAGCTTTATTTTATTTCTATTTCCTCCATTTCAAGAGAGAGATTTTACAGATGATTATGAAAAACACATTTACTATACCTGTAGTAATTCAGACACAGAAGAACACCCAGTGCCAGGGTCAGCTGTCCCCCAAGAAAAACGAAGGACTGAAAAGTTGAAATGTCTCCAGCAGCTATTGGGCGGTTTGCTGTTCTTGTAACCTTAAAACATAAAAACAGATACCTCAGCTCAATCATTTATTTAAACATTTCATCAAGAGACTGGTCCACAGTAATCGACAAGGCAGGAATATGAATAAAAGGTGAAATCAACATGGGAAATACTGCCAAGAATCAAAAGTTGGTATTTTAAAGTAGCTTTGAAAATAACTAAAATTTCCCACCACTCATTCCCTTTTCTATCTCCCATCCCCATCCCTAAACAAACAAAACCAAGCGATTTCCTCATCTAGCTACTTAGCCACCTAGCTTAATTAGCAAGTGTATGTTCAATTTCCATAGAGAAAAGAGGGACAATAATAATGAGAATTCTCAGGAAAGGAAAACTGAAGTGCATGTTAAATATGGCCAATATCTTATGAATGTTTTGAGTATGGAAAGCACTGCAGTCAGAAATCAGACGTAAAGAAAGAAGACAGATTATCTGGGTTTGAAAGTTGGAATGGTTTTTTTTACCCTAGCCAGTTTGGCTCAGTGGTTAGAGCACTGGGGCCGTGGGCTGAAGAGTCTCGGGTTCTATTCTGTCAAGGGCAAGTACCTCAGTTGCAGGCTGCCAATCAATGAGACTTCGATGTTTTTGTTTCTCTCCCTCCCTCCGCCCCTCTCTCCCTTTCTCCTTCTCCCCCCCCCGAAAAGCAATGGAAAAAATATCCTCGGGAGAGGATTAAAAAAAAAAGAAATTTGGAGTGTTTTTGCCAGGTTATTTAGGAATAGGTCTGTAATCTTATTTTACCTGCACTCAAATATAAAGGGCAAACCCATTGTGAGAAAATTAAGAGCAATTATGTGAACAAATAATATATATTAACTTGTTCTTTTCCTTCCAAGAGATCATAAAATGTGATTATTCTAAATTGAACCACAAACAAAAAACATAACCAAAATTTTCAACACTGCTAAAAGAACTCAGGATCTGACATCAGAGAGCCCAGCATTTGAATCTAATTCCATCACTTATTGGCTGTATGAATTTTGGGAAATCACTTAATCTCTCTTGGGCTTAGGTTACCAACCTGTTAAAGGAAAAACTAAGAGAGGGAGAAGGGACAGAGGTAATAATAGCACCTGCCTCACAGAGTAAATGCAGTGCTTGAAGCATATAAGTATGCAATAAGTGTTAACTATTATTAATATAACATATTTTTTTAAACATATTTTTATTGATTTCAGAGAGAGGAAGGGAGAGGAGAAGAGAGAGATGGAAACATCAATGATGAGAAAGTCATCATTGCTCAGCTGCCTTCTGCACACCCCCTACTGGGGATCAAGCCTGCAACCCGGGCATGTGCCCTGACTGGGAACTAAACCTCAATCTCCTGGTCGATGCTCAACCGTTGAGTCACGCCAGCTGGGCAATGTAATATATTTGATATGATTTATATCAAGGGTTAGCAAACTATGGCCAGTGGGCCAAGTCCAGCCTACTGCCTGTTTTTATATGGCCTGTGAGCTAAGGCTGGCTTTTACTTTTTTAGATGGTTGAAAATAAATTTTAAAAAAAGAATAATGTATTGCCACATGAAAATAACATGATATTCAAATTTCAATGCACACAGTTTTCCTGAAAGAGACATACCCATTTGTTTACATATTGTGTATGGTTGCTTTTATGCTTCAACAGAGTAATTGCAAAAAAGACAGCGTGGCCCACAAAGCCAAAATAATTACCATCTTATTATTATTATTATTTTTTTCTTTTAGGTACCAAAATTTTTATTTACCTACTTTCCTGCTCTAACATTATAAGCATTATATAAACTTTATAAACCAAATTAATCTTTTTGATCCAGGGTTCAAATCAATCTTTTTGATAGGAACCATTACAAAGTGGTGGCAGATCTATGCCTGCTTTTAAGATTCTCTGGCCCATCTCAACCTCTGGCTGCACTTCTCTTGTCCTTTCTCCACTGTCCCATAACAGTGTATTTTATAACCCCTATAAAATAGGGGACTGAAAGTACCAACTTCATTGTTCTGAGGTTTAAGAGAATGCCCAGCACTAAGCCAGGCTCTCAGGAGCATTCAAACTCCAGTAGTTCCTCCCTGCCCACTGATATAGCTCCTTCTCATTTGTCATGGCTGAGGAACCAGTGAACCTATAAACCAAGAACATGGGTACAACATCCATAGGCCAGGTGAGGGCTTAGATAATAAAGTGCACAGGTGTTGTGCCCACCACTTCCAAAACCCCTGANTGTTGTGCCCAACACTTCCAAAACCCCTGAGCTCATGGTTCCCTGTGGGTATCTCCCATGTACCTCCACTGTGACCAGGGCTTGAGAAAGGGCTCAATTACCTTCTCAAATTGCCCTGCCACACATGAAACAGTATGAGGGATGTAGTGGAGCCCAAAGACTGAGTGACCAGCCACAGGGAGTCAATGGGGGACATTCACAAACCATTCTCAAAGTTGGAGCCATTTCCTCTTGGGGAGATGAGGTGGGACCTGGGCAAGGATAGCAGCTAGAAGGCAAAAAGGGCAGGCCTGGTTCTCAGTAGCGATAGTGATAAGGCTTGAAGGGGTCATCATGGGGCATGCCCAGGTACTGGGCCTGCTTCTCAGTCAGCTTGGTCAGCTTCGTGTTCTGCTTGCACAGGTGGGCTTCAGCTACTGCTTCGTCCAGCTTCTTGGGCAGGAAGTGGACCCCAACGGAGTACTTTTCTTGATGGGTCCACAGGTCAAGCTGCGCCAGCACCTGGTTGGTGAAGGAGTTGCTCATCACGAAGCTGGGGTGACCCATCGTGCAGCCCAGGTTGACCAACCGGCCCTTGGCCGGCAGGATAATGTGGTGCCCATTCTTTAGCTGGTAGCAGTCCACCTGGGGCTTGATGTTCACTTTCTCCACAGCATTCTCATTCAGCCACTTGACATCAATCTCCACGTCAAAATGTCCAATGTTACACATGATGGCATCATCTTTCATCTGCTCAAAGTGCCTGCCGAGGATGATGTCAACACAGCCTGTGGTGGTGACAAAGATGTTGCCCTCCTGACAGGCCTTGTCCATGGTGGTCACCTCATAGCCCTCCATGGCGGCTTGCAGTGCATTGATGGGGTTAATCTCGGTGATGATGACTCAGGCCCCAAAACCTTTCAGGGCCTGGGCACAACCCTTGCTCATGTTGCCATATCCCACTACCACCGCCACCTTGCCTGCAATCATCACGTCTGTGGCCCACTTGATGCCATCTATGAGGGACTCCTGGCAGCCACAGAAGTTGTCAAATTTGCCCTTTGTGACAGAGTCATTGACGTTGATGGCAGGAACCTTCAGGATCCCGATGACCATCACCTTGTATAAGTTGTGGATCCCTGTCGTGGTCTCCTCAGAGATGCCTCAGATGCCCAACAAGAGCTGTGGGTACTTGGTGTGGATGAGGTTGGTGAGGTTACCACTGTCGTCCAGAATCATGTTGAGAGGCCCATCCTTGAAGTACAGCGTCTGCTCAATGCAACAGGTACTCATCTGTTCTACCCTTCCAGGCATACACTGGAATGCCAGCCTTGGCAATGGCAGCTGCTGCATGGTCCTGGGTGGAGAAGATGTTGCAGCTGGACCACTGCACCTCAGCACCCAAGGCAACGAGCGTCTCAATGAGGACGGCTGTCTCAACGGTCATGTGCAGGCAGCAGCGATGCAGGTGCCTTCAGTCACTTGGAAGCTGAGTACATCTCCCGCATGCATATCAGGCCCGGCATCTCATTCTCCTTGATGTCCAGGGCCTTGTGTCCCCAGGAGGCCAGGCTAATGTTATCGACTTTGTAGGGCAGTTTGTCCGACAAGCTGATGGCTATTCCGACGGAGTGATAGACACAAGCGAAGGGGGCTGGGCTTCGTACCAGGAAACAGAACTGGGCCAGCAGCAGAGGGAAGGGCTACCATCTTATTCTTGACAGAAAAAACTTGCAGACCCAATTTATAGCATGCTTCACTCTGCAATAAAACAATCTGTCAAGCTGTAATGACTAATCTTGGTTAGAGTGCCAGAACTGGGCCTTCCTTCCTTGCTTTGGTCCCTATGGGTTCAGTTGGAAATAATATTTATGTTCTTTGTTTCAGGATATTATGATTCTTCCAGCTAGTATCTGAGTATTGACAATGTGCCACTATCCTAAGAGCTACCTATGCAACACATCATTGAATCCTCGTTAACAATCCTATCTTTTTGCCTAGCCAGGCGTGGCTCAGCGGTTGAGCATCGACCTAGGATCCAGGCGATCGGGGTTCGATTCCCGGTCAGGGCACATGCCCAGGTTGCAGGCTCGATCAGTGACTCTCTCATTATTGATGTTTCTATCTCTCTCTCTCCCCTCCTGTCCTCTCTCTGAAATCAATAAAGATATATTTAAAAAACAAAACAAAAAAACAAACAATCCTATCTTTTAGCCACTCACAAGGTCTTGCCATTTGTAAGTTTTAGGAAACTGAAGCAGAGGCTCAGTAACTTTCCAAAGTCACAGGTAGCACAGTAGCACAGTCAGCCCAGTACCACTGACGCACTAACCACAAGATTACACTGGCCCTTCAGTACAGTTATAATTACCTACCTACATTTGAAAGCTGAAAATAAGCACTCAATGAAAAGACTAAAAATTATGTAATGTGATAATCAAAACACATTCAATATGGTTTTTATGAAACCAGTGTTCACAGTTTATAAAACCAAATTGATACATTATTTCAATGTTTATTGACTTAATGTTTATCAAATGGCTAACAGATTATATACATCAATAACCCAGACAATCGAATCTGGATTCTCCTAATCAGAGGAAAATAGCATGGGGGAGATGTAGGAAATCTAATCAGTTCCCTTTTATCTTTGGAGGAAAAAATCACTTAAGGGGGAACAAAAATGGTCATATTTTGTTAATTAAAAAAAATAGAAAAAGTTGGTTGGTTTGAATATATTACTTTTTTAATTAACCTTTTTCTTTTGTGGTAGCTGTAGATTCACATGCAGGGTGTGGTTTTTTTTTAAATTCTCTGTATTTTAAAAAAATATAAAGATCCCATGTACCCTTTATCAAGCTCCCCAAAGGATAACATCTTACAAAACTTTACAGTTCAAAAATCACAACCATGATTTGTACATTAGCTGCTCTAAACATGTTCAAGAATTATTCTGAAGTGACATATGCCAGGCACCTCATTCATATGGTTATGCAGAATGAAAAACTGACCAGGATGTGTGAACCCTCAAATCCAATGCATCTCCTGGCAGGGATCAAGGCATCCCAACTGGGTCTGCAGGGCATAGAGTGGCCTTTACTATGCAGTTCCTGCCACTATCCTACCCTCCAGCCACACACAAACCCCATCATTGCAGTTGTCAAGCACAATATACTTTATCTCACAGCCATGCCTCTGTATCCCCTGTTCCCTCTGCCTAGAGTGACCTCACCCTGCAGCCCACCCTTCTTTTTTGCCATCTTACTGTGACACAGTTCAAAGGTCACTCTCTGAAAGTTCTCTCTGACCTCCTCCCCTAGGCTAAGGTAGTAAGTTCCCTTGTGGACACCATTCTCATGATAGTGCTACTGTATTATAACTAGTAGCCTGGGAGGTCTTTCAACCATGCAGTCTAGAACCTGTCATTGTGTCTCACACACAGCAAGTACTCATTAATGTTTTATGAATTAAAAAAGGAAGGGATGATAGTTCTTTTAGACCAGGGGTGGGGGAACATCGAAATCATTTGGTCTGGCCCTGCCAAGGCAACCGCAGGTGGGACTCAAAATTCAATAAATCTAGGAGCTTTTTTCATAGCTAATTTTTAAGTTGATAATTTTGTATGGCCTGCCTGTGAATGATGTTATAAATATCCAAATGACCTTTGGCAGAAAAAAAGTCCTCCACCCCTGTTTTAGACAAAGGTTCCAATAGATTTTTCACTTCACTCCTAACATCCTTATCCAAGCGTTCTAAATCCTAATTCACTCTGTAAAAAATGAAATACACACCTTGGCCCCATAGCCACTCTTGTGCTGAGAGAAGTACACCGCACTTTGCAACACCAGCTATTCATTCAACTGGTATCAGCACTTCCTATGCTGATTTCAGTAAGGACACTAAATGATCCAGTAGTTTTATGTGGCACTCAGAAATGATGCCACCATGTTTCTCTGCAGAATTTAGAGAAGCCTCTCTGTTCCTTTTGAGGACGAACTACCTTTTTATCGTAATCCCGGTCCCACATGTCATTAATAGTACAGCCTGCTCCACGCATCAGAACAGCTCCAGTGCCAAAGAGGGATAACATGTACCAGTCTGGAAAACAGCCTGGTTCAGCTGCCAAACTGATGCTCCAGGTACATGGCAGATACAGCAGCCAGGTTCCTATGCAAAAATAAAAAGACAGAAAAGGTACCAATTCAAGTTAGTTAACTGTTTTCATTTGTTTAAACATCGGTCCCAAAGAAGTAAAAAACAAAAACATATGACAAAACAAATTAAAAAACATATGACAAAACTGGGACAATAAATTTGCAACTCATATCACAAAAGACTATTCTCCCTGATATGTTAGGTTCCTAGAAACTGAAGAGAGATCAATAGATAGTCCAACTGAAAAAGGGACAAAAAACATAACAGAAGTTCACAGAAAGGAATACAAATGGCTCTTACACATATGAAAAGATAATAAACTTTGAGAAATACATATTAAAACTACATTGAGGTAACACTTTTCACCTATCAGATTGGCAAAACCCAAAGTCTGACAACACACCCTGGAGAGTCAGACACTTTCATGTATCTCTAATGAGGTTACAAAATGGTCCACCCTTATGGACAACCTGAAAAAAAAATTTTTTTTTTTTTTAATTTTATTATTGTTTAAAATATTACAGATGTCCCTTTTTCTCCCCAATGACCCGTTCCACCCCATTCCTTCCCCCTCCCCAGGCCCTCTCCCCCTGAAAATTTTTAATACAAGTTTGTGCGTATACACACACACACTCATATAAAACACATACATATATTTCAATGTCAGTATGCTCATAGACCATGTCTGGAAGGATATATTAGAAACTTGTCTCTGGGAAGGGGAACTGGTTGGCTGAGAGACTTAGTTTTCACTCTACACTTTTGTACCTTCTGAATTTTGTATAACACCAGCTGGGCTGTCCTGTTATTCGTAACCAGCCTCTGTCAACTACAGAGGAGTTTATACTAATGAAGTGACTTTTGGAAAGCCCCTGAGTATGGGTGTTAGTTCCCAGGGAACCAACCAGCACAAATTTCTTTCACATTCTTTAAAATTTAATGGAGAGAAAATTTATTCTTAATGTAGATCTTAGCAACCTCAACATACAATTTCTTTTCTTTCCTTATTAAGTTTAGAACTTTCATCTTTTCACTTAAAGGAAGCACTTTACAGCTTCTCTTTGGCACATCTGAATTGTCAGCATCACTACTCTTGGCCTTGGGGCCATTATTAAGTAAAATAAGGGTTACTTGAACACAAGCGTTACAATACTGCAACAGCTACTAAGTAATCGGTGGGTAGAGTACACGGTGTGCAAACAATGGACAAGGGGATGAGTCACATCTGGGCAGACAGAATGGGATGGCGTAAGACTGCATCACGCTATTCAGAATGGTATGCAATTTATTTTTACTTATTTATTTTAATCCTCACCGAGGATATTTTTCCCATTGCTTTTCAGAAAGAGTGAAAGGGAGAGAGAGAGAGACACATCGATTGGTTGCCTCCTGTATGAGTCCCAACCAACAGGGGCAGGCAATCCAGGTATGTGCCCTTGACTGGAATCAAACCTGGGACCCTTCAGTCCACAGGAAGATGCTCTAACCACTGATCCAAACCGGCTAGGGGCAGAATTGTTTATAGAATTATTTCTGGAAATTTCTATTTAATACTTTCAGGCCACAGTTGACTACTGTTAACTGAAACTACAAAAAGTGAAACCACAGGTAAAGGGGTAGTAATGTAGATTGTATGAATAAGAGATTTCACACTTGAATTTTAATGGGTATCTTACTTTCAAATAGGCTATGGTACCTTGTAGATATATTCCTAGTTCTTTCCCTAATTAGCAATACAAGGGAAAAAAGATATGTGGCTAAAGAAAGATCAGATCCTGTACAAAAACAGTCAAATGACAAAGTCCTTATAAGCACGTTTAAGCTTCATTAAGTTTTATTCATTTGCAAATATTTATAAAGCACGTATTTTGTGCCAGAGCTGTGCTAGGAATTGGGAACACAATGGTGACTGAGAGTGGTTTCTGCCTTTTTACAGCTTATAAATTAAAAGGAAGAAACAGTTAAACAAAAAATAATAAAATAGATCAACAACAGGGCAAGCACAGGATCCTACAAAGAAAAGGCAAGGAAAGGCTAAAAGTGAGAAATGGTCAGTCCAGACCTGAATAACATAGCTAACGTGGGGGAGGAAGAAAGTTTCCTCCACCTTTCTAGGTTCTTTTGGCTAGTCTAATAATTAAATTGACATAGGACAGTATAACAAGAGAAAATAATCAAGTTTAATTACATACATATGTAATTAAACTCCACATACATTAGAGATTCAGAGATAGATGGTAAAATGAAGTATACGTGGCATCCTGAGCTGAGGAATGAGGTGAGACCTCTAAGGCTTCTAAAAGCGCTCTCTATAAGGGGTTAATTCACAAATTGATAAGAGCAGATGTTCGGTAGTTAGATGTTTGCCCTGCCCTCTAAATAGGTTATAAAAAGTTATTTTTGTTAATAACTCTTGTTACAGACAAGGCCCCAATTCAAAATTTAATAGTTAAAAGCTTCTCTTAAGCCTGCAAAGTCTTGATTACCTTCAGCTCAAAATAATCCCCATACCACAGAGGCACATCTTGGGGCAACTCATTCTGAATCCCCCACTAACATTTACTGAATGTTCGTGAAATGCCAGGCAGTGTTCTAAATGCTTTATATGTATAAATTCATTTAATCCTCAAAAACATCCCTAAGAAATCGGCACTATTATTATTCCTATTTTACACAACACAACAGATGTGCAGAGGTTAAAACAATGGGTTGAACTACTTCCTTGTAACTCCGAGGGACAAAGGAGTAGCTAGCTGATCCTGCCCCGATAGAAAAGAAAAACCGTCACTTCACAGGCATTATTTTCCTGGTGCAATTAGAACTGAAGATTCCATCTAGAAAATAATTCTAGAGAAAGATGTGTAACCACCTAAAGCATTTTGTGTCAAGAAGAAAAATTTCTTAGCCTTAAGTCTGTATTATAGGTGATGTATTCACTTACTAATAGGAATCTGTAGGTTGCCCCTAGAGAAGAGAGGGGTTCCTAATGAAGGAGAAAGTCAGACCTCCTGTTTGATGTCTGCCACTAGTAAATGGAGTAACACCAGACACTAAAGTATATTAAACTTTAAGGCTCATTCTCTGTCATCTATAAGCTAGAGGAAACATATCTACCTTTCAGAGATGTTACGAGATGATATTGGTGATGAAAACACAATAATACAAAATATATAGTACTTACTATGTGCCAGGTGCTGTCATATAACATTTTTGATGCTCACAACAAAGCTGTGAGATAGGCACTATTTTTATTATACCCAGATACGCTTCAGGAAAAAAAATGTTTACTGTAGTAAAAGGAAAAACTCTTTGGGAGAGTAAATGAGCAAATTTTGGTAGGTGATAGGTAGAAAAAAGAGCCTTTGTAAATGGAGTCTAAGAGTAATTCACTAATTACACCTTATCTTTAAGACAACATAACCACCCGTAAATCCAGTAAAAAAATTTACACCACCAATTTAATGAAAGAGTGCCACCTGCTGAAATTTCCTGAAATAATACAGTTTGTGACCCGATTGAAAGAAGTTTTAATCCATTCTGAAAAACAATAAAATACATTTTGGCTTATGAAGATTAACAAAGTAAAACAATGAACATAAAATTTCACCACAAAAGAATTTCAATAAAGGAATATCAAACCTGGATTCTACTACTGTCAACTTATTGTTCCTAGCATACATAGGGGCTCAAGAAATGTTTGTTGGATGAACTGTAACACAGAGAAGTACTAATAAGTTATCTCAAAAATCCTGCAATCATCACCGTATTTAGAACCAAAGCACGCAGGTTGGTCTCTTTTCAACATACATAGCAACTATTACCCAATCTTCTCCAATTCCCACTTCTCAAGTAATAATAGCTAATATTCTTGAGCACTTAATTATGTCAGGCATTGCTCTAAAGAGTTGACATATAGTAATGAGTTTTCATGACAACCTTATAAAGTCAATATTATCGGTACCTTCACTTTATAGATGAGAAATGAAGGCACAGAGAGGTAAAGTAACTTAATTGAGGTCCCTCAAATGGGCAAAGTGAAGATTCAAACCCAAGAGGTCTGACTCCAGACCTTTAGGCATAACCCCTTTATAATCTCTTATTATGTGGTGGGGCAGTCTAGCTAATAAAATAGAAGCCAGAGGTTTCTGGAAATGGGAAAAACAGCAGCCACTGTTCTGTCTTGGGTGCCTGTAAGCTTACACTGATGCTTTGTGGCACAGACTCAAAGAACAGAAATCTAGTTAGGCTTCAGATTAGAACTGGGTTTGGAAATGTATGCCTATCAACTTGTACCTGGCCCCAAAGTGCAAGGGGTCATGATGGCAGGGCTGTGCCTATCATTTATTTTGCTTGCATACTTTAATTGCTCATTGCTATGAACTCTTAGTGCTCTGATCCCAAATAGGTAGTGCATAAACCTAGAATACCAAAAACAAGGCCTAATTTGGGGTCTTGGCTGGGCAAGGGAGAAAATATATCTGTGCATTTGAATGTATTTCCATGCACTGCAATGGCAATTCCATCATCTAGACTACCTGAAGTTCAGCCATAACCCCTCCCTGCCTCCCCATTGTTCATCCTTCAGTCCAGCTCTTAACCAGCCTGTACTCCCACTATTTTCTACACCCACGTGGGGTTCCAGATCAGTTTATATTTTTAGTTTTCCAACGACACTCTTCCAGTTTTTGCAAAAATATTTTCCCCACCAAGAGCTCTACCCTCCTCTGAAAAGTTTACCCGTCCTCAGAGTTATACTTTCTCCTTGACTTTCCAGCGGTGAAGATCCACAGTAATTAGTCTTTCCTGCTGTATTTACTACCTGTATCACTTACATCAGCTTTTTCAGCTAGACTGAGCTGAGCGTTCCTTGAGAGCAGGGAGTTTCCATAGCTCTTTCTATCTCTAAAGCTAACCGATGTTGTAGGAATGTATTAATTCATTCACTACTACTGCCAGGCTCCGTTCTAGGCACTAAAAACAATCCCATTTATGTGGAGCTTATATTGTATCGGAGAAGTCAATCAACCAATAAATGCCGAAGGTTCGTTAATG